TCTGCTACGCGAGCTTTCGTGATTTAAGAACCTAGGCTCGGTGCTGCTCCTGCAAAAAGACTCTCTGCAAACGCTGTGGGCTACGAAGTACATGTTGAGATGATCTGAACTCTCAGACTCCAGCTGCTGCTGCAAGTCATCCAGGAAAAGCTGCTCAACCGGATGGCATCGCGCACCAACTGCCAGCACCTCCGGAGACCTTGCAGCAGGGAACCAGGAAGCGGTCCTTGGCCAAAGCGCGAGCCCGGGGTCGGGGCCGTCTCCCAGGATGGAGCGATGAAAAATAATCGGCGAAAAGCGTGGCCTCAAAGGCTCGGCAGAAGGCGCACTGCTTCGCAGTGTCCGCAAGGACCCTGATGGCACTGCGAGGATTTTAGGCTCAAAAGCCAAGCAGGGACACCACAAACTGCTCTTCTCTGATGCCCAAGCTTCCGATTAACTTCGAACTTACGAACCGACACCCCCTGTTCTTGAACAATGTTCACGCCTGTCTTCGTGCCTTCATGTGCCTCCCGCTTTTAAACTCCATCATGCTGCAACCATCTGAGTTCGTCACTTGAAGGGTTGCTGACATCACAATAAGTTTCACCGTAGGGCAACAGTGCCTCCAAGCAGCTTCTGCAGAAGCAAGGGCTGTGAGAATTGAAAGCTGTCGAAGCCCTTGTCCGCGGTGTGACTTGGGATGCTGCATTAACAACTTGATGACCAGGGAAAGGAGGTCAGCGTCCACACCGCGCTCGTGCACCTGCAGTATAAGACGCAGTGAGAATTCAACTCGAAGAAGCCGGCTGCCTATCTAGTGTTAGCAGTCTCTGCCTCATCTAAGACCACATGCGTGTAGCGCTGAAAATCCTGGCAACGTGTCGCAACGTCCGAAACTCTCCACCGGACTCGGACTCCAAGCTCTGTCCTCAGGGTTGTTGACCAGTCTTTGCAGGAGGTATCCCACCGTGACGAAACATAGCTTGCCGTTGATGGTGTCACCACTGGCGCAAGCCGTGCTTGGATTCGCTCCAAGTGTGTTGGCATGCTGCAAAATGGAGAGGGAAAGTTCAGGCAGACCGAAAGCACGCGGCCTGATCCTGTAGCCAACGGTTCCCTGTCCGATCTCCTGAAGCAGGCAACTTTTTCTATCAGACCTGAAAGCAAACTGGAACCTGCAGAACAGAATGCAATGAGCACGTCCCACTATGTTTTGGACAATTATTCGGATAGACTTTTCAGTCTGCTCCTCGCCGAGAACGGAGGCGACACGCTTTGCTAGCCTCACGGCGCAAGGATGGGATAGAGATGCACGAAACACTTCGACGTCTGTAGGCTTCTGTCGCAGGAGCAGCTTTTTTGTCTCCTGGTGGGCCACTGCCCAACTGTAGTGACTGTGGTGGAAATAAGGCCCGAGCGTCACAGCGGCCATCCGCCTCTTGAACACAGCCATCGGGGATCATCGGAGCAACCTCCCCGAGTATTAAGCAAAGACGGCCTTGGCTGTGTCACTACCATGCGAATCCTCGGTGAGGAAAAGATCGAACGTTTGAGCACTGCCTCGTGGAAGGCTGTCAATTACTAAGCTTCATGCTCCTCTCCTCTGTGCTTCGCGTCCTTCAGTCGAGTTTGTCACTGGACTTGGAGAGGTGCAATCGGCCGGCCTCGAGGATAAACTGTGGCAGACGAGTAGACTTGCCGCAGCCAGTCTCTCCCTGGATATGGGTGACCTGCAGAGATTCTGCGCTCTTCCAAGGACTGCCTTGCAGAACCCTGGATTCGAGATCCCCTCGAATTTTGTAAGTCTTTTTGGGACACAATGTTCAGAGCCGACGGTGTTCCAAATCTAGCCAGTGACTACACGACAAGAGCATTCAGTAGTCCCGACCAGTCTGCACGAATTTAGCCGGTGTGTTGTGCAGAGTCTGGTGGAAAGGCTCGCCCTACAGGCCCTGCAGTCTTCCAAAGATGTTTGATCTGTCGATTTGGATGGATCGCTTGCCGATGTTTAGACAGAGACCGTTCTTGCAGCATTGCACACGGTCAACGTCAATGTCTGCTGCTGTCACTACGAGCTAGAGGTGCCAAGTTCAAGACCTGTGGGTTCGTAGACAGTGCGCCAGCATCTGTTTAATAATATCGAAGTCCTACCAACTAAAGCCGTCCCCTCATTTCATATACTGAATGCCAGCTGTGCCGTGCTGAGGCCAGCACCCGATTCTCGCGTATATGTTGCAAAATCCTGGAGAGACACCCATCATTGCACGCGCACACACACACACACGCAGCTTCCACAGGTCACCAAAGCCGTGCCTGTCTCGAAATTCGTCAATGGGCAATTGCAACCTGACATCGGCAGTGTTTCGATGCCCACGGACGCTGGACTTCGAATTGTCGAGTCTGGTGCTGATCGAGTTCCTGCCTATCAACGCAAGCGCCTTCATATCGCTTCAGATCTACAGTGCTGAAGGCGATGACAGCACCGGCTGAAATCTGCATCCCGAATATCTTCGCAGCTGCTTTTCCTGAACCGCTTCGGAGTTTGACGACGATTGCCTTTACAGGCGTGGCATCTGTCTCTGATCTCGATTGGCTCGAGGACTGTGCAATGGACTCGAGATGTTGATATGCTTTTAAAAAGGCATCCCAGAAAAAGGCTTCCGCTTCCACTTTAGATGTCCAGAAGACCGAAGCTGGAAGCTCCGAGCAAATGGAAAGGCTTGCCCTCGTAGTTTTTCTGAGTGACTGCTCCGACTCTCAAAGGCAGTTAAGTCACACGAGTCCCTGAGGGGAGCAAGTCTGTTCTCATCTGCTGTTGGACTGGCACGCCCAGCTTCTCAAACTGCAGTGGACCAGAGCGCCGGTGCGATTCGCTTCTTAACATGAAGAAGACTGACCCTTGATTTCTACTTGCAGCTTGGAACGGCAGGCCAGATCTAATCCGTCGCCTGCATACCGTCGGCATGTCACGTGCCGGCTTGTCGAAACGGCGTATGTGTCTCTCGAACTTCAACTCGGGAATGCTTCCCGGACAAATGCTGTTCGTGAGCCACACATGCCCATGGGGCAAGGCCCAAGCAACTCCAAAGAATGCTGCTCGCTGCGACACCATAAACTGTGGGCCTGAAAGTCGTGCATCACTCGTCAAAGATCCAGTATATCATCAAGAATCAAAGAATAAATACTGCTCTAAGGCCAAACAAGACGGAGTTTTTCGGCCTCGCCCTCCTAGCAACAGAACTTGCAGAAGACTTCATGCTTCTGTCAGCCGTGATGGTGCTGACGGCATTGAACATGCAAGCGTTGTGACAACCCTGTTCACACTTCATGGCCATGTCGATTGAGGGAATTCTCACGTCGAAAACCCTGCACTCGACAGCAGCTAAAGCATGTAGCTGCCAAGGCATGGTGCACAGCAGTTGCAAGCGAATTCAAGCAGCGCCTGAACTCTGTCAGGCAAACTGCACCGCTCGAAAGGCGACTACAGCCTAAGCCTGCTTGCGACGAGTACAGTCTCGCCTTACGCTTGGGGCTCAGCGTCTCGGTCTTGCGTTCTACGGTTCGCTTCCCGCTCAGGTCCAGGAAAGCTCAAGGGCCAAGCTGAGCCCCTCTTGCAGGCAGAGGCAAAGAGGAGGAACGCCGAGCGCTTCGATATTGCAGACGCGGAGGGTGCTTTGTGACATCCCTGGGTCCAAGTCTGCCCATGCACCAAAAGTAAACAATCTACAAATTCACTGCTCGCGCAGAGGCGAAGGTAGCCATCGCATAACCGTACACTTTACAAGGTTCATTCAGCAACGGCTCGCAAAGCTCAAAGTGAACATTCTGTGGAGTCACTGTCGTCTGTCGCCTTAGGCAAAGCGAGCCAATGAGTCGGCATTACATCGCCTCGAGTCTATACTGGAGGCAGATGGCGAGTGTAGCAGGTTTTCACTTCTAACTCCTTCAGACTACACGGCAAAGCCTTGAGCACAGCCCTGTATCATACGATCTAGCAACAAGAATGCTGAGTTTGGAAGCGAGCTACTTCTTCCAGAGTGGTTTCGGTCCCAGATGATGGGTGGTCCAGGGCTTTCGCCTCGGAAGCAGCTGGCCGCACCACCTCAGCCAGTGCTGCCGGCGGAAGGACCCCAAGTGCCTTCCTCATCCAGAAATTGCGCTGTTGGAATCTGCTAGCTGGCAAACCGATTGCTGAATACACACCGTAGCTCTCAAACGTAAGTCGTGCGACTGCCGATTTTAGATGGTGGACTAGGACAGTGATGGACAGTGCCCGGAGCTTGACAGCGATTCTGGACGTCGTGAATCTCCGGCTGGACTGGCTGCGATGCAAGTCCTTCTGGGCTTGTCAAGTGCTTAAAGCAGATGCATCTAGATGCCAAGTCACGCGAGTCAGGCCCCAGAGTGACCAGCCGGCAGCGTAGTGCGCCAACCTCGGAGCGCAAAAGGCTGAACTCCTGCACTGACAGACGCTTCCGCTGCGCCGTGAGGCGTCGTGACGCGGCCCAGTAACTCAGCACCAGTGAGGACCAGAAGGCCCCATCCTGGGAATAAGACCATGCCTGCCAAGTGTGCATTGGGTCATATTCTCCCACTGCACCACTGCACACATGTGCTTCCTTTTTCGTGCTTTGAGCGATCTGCTTCGAGCCAACACCTACAGAATGGACCACCGCCAGACCGGCACCGGCACCTGTGTTCCTCACCCTCGCTCTTTTGGGAGTGGACTCGAGCAAACCGTGTACCCGTGGCGACATCATGTCGTCTTGAGTAGTGGCTGAACATCATCGTTCACAGGCAATCAAAGGAAACTTTCTGGCCTTGACTGCGATATATGGAAGCACTCAAAACGACGACAATGACACCGAGAAGCAATACCTCAGTGCCAAGGCGAGCACGCGGCAGGCAGAATCTCCAATTCAAAGCCGCGCAGTGACAGTGCTCGTTGCCGGAGCACTGGCTTCAGTCAAGAAGCATCCAACATTGCCAGCTTTCTCAATCGTCTTGACAACTTTACCAGAGAGAAGCCAGCCTCCTGCGACGAGCACGAGCTTTGAAGCCAGCACAATGTGCTGAGCGGACTTGCTGTTTCATCTTTTGCTCCATTGCTATGAACTTTGCTTAGAAAGCTCCCCTCAAGCCGTAGCTGCGACGGGTTTGTTTGTGCTGGGAATCTAGCAGGACGGCTTCGAATCCAATTTGTGGCAGCCCGCGCTGCTCTGATCAAAGCACCTCCCAAACTTTTGGATCTGGGACTCATGGACACGTTTCAATACACCGCACGTCTGAAACCACTGAAGCTTGCCACACCAGCCACATTGAACACCGTAACTTCTCTACGTTTGATGCACGTGGTTGCATCAACTCTGCTTGCCAAAAACCTGGCCGTGCTCCTTGATGTTTTACCCGACACTACACCCAGCTAGCGAAGAGTACAGCAAGGCAGTGGCTGCAAACTGTTACAAGTACAGGCGTTGCTGCCGTCCTCCAATACAATCGCAGCTGCATCACTGACGAAAAATCGCAACGAGGAGATTGCAATCGTCAACATGTCCTAAGTGGTTGTCGCTGAGCATCGGAAGCTTGAAGGACAGCGGCTTTGCAGTAGGGCATGGCGGGTAAGGATGCTCTTCGTGGTCGATCGGAGACAGGGCAAAAAAACACGCCCCCGACTCAAAACGACGGCAATATGATAACTGATAAGAACGCACGCACACAAAAAGAAACCCACGATACCTAACAATCAAGCCTCAACTCTTGAATGCTGAAACCCGAGGCCCGAAGTCTAAACCTCAAAGCCCCTCGACCCCGGAACCAGATCCTTGCAGCCTCAAACTTCTGCAAACGCGGAAGCAGTGAGAAGTTTGTGGCTGTGCCTAGCCACGCTTGTCGTAGTTGTGTGCGCTTTCGGCTGTCGACCCTGAGAAAGACTAAGCTGGCCTCACCCCCCCCCCCCCCCCGCCCCAAACTCGTAGGCCATCATGCAAACAACAACAGCGCATTCAATCCTTCCCCCATTCCCTAGCACCCCCAAGTCCGAAACGAAAGAGCAGCACGGATGTGAGCAGATTAGAAACCACATCAGACCAGGCAGACAGGAAGTCTGCGATCCAACCCACCTGCCACCAGCCACTATGTTGCGACACAGCATCCAGTACAGGAAGGCCAATCACAAACACGGCGAGCATGATGATTGCCAGAAGTGCACTGGCATCCTGGGACGGCATAAACTGTCATGAGCTCTCTGCAGGGATTTCGTTCTAGTGGCTTGCATGCAGAGCCAAGTGTCAAAGGCTTCGGCCTGAAATTCTGCCAGTGTCTGCAGGCACTGAAAGATCGTCACATCCGCTTTGGCATGCCTGGCAGGATCTGGGTATCCGACAAGTGACAGCCCACGGAGAAGGTGCCACGCATCCGCATGCCGAGGGACTCTGCTACGTGCATGTCCTCCATGACACCTAAAGCCAGGAAAGGCAGCTGCACCCACAATCTCCGCAAAGACGCGCTGGTCATCTGTGGAAGTGCATCCGGGGCCGCCGGGGCCCGTACGGATCTGCCACGGGGGGAGCCCGTTCTGCTTCAATATCTTCGCATCCAGGCGAAGTCCCAGCACCGGCCTTGGACACCGATCTAGGAAGGAAGCAAAGCCCTTCTGCGCTAAAAACGCTAATACGCTTTCAGGCACGCTTTCCATCGAGATGAAAGCCGCTTTTATACCCCATGGCCCATGCACGGCCGCTTCTGAGGGCTCGGCCACCTCATCCCCAAGATGAAAAGCACTGCAAAGATCATGAACAGCAACAGCATGAGAGCCGCAGCTCCTCACAGGCGCACGAGTCCCTTCCCTCGACTGTGCATAAGATCGGACTGCACTTGTTGTTGCATCGCCTTTCTTTCCGAAGATCTTGATGGTGAAAGGGTCAGCTGGCGAGCGCAGGTCCATCTTGCGGGACTCATCTGGCAGCCTGGGTGGGTGAATACCCAACCTGAGTTTCGAAGGCCATGAGGCACACAAAGCCGTCTGAAATTCGCTCCCCTGAGGGTAAGCCGTTCAACGATGCCTGACAAAGACGCACGTAGCATCATGCTGCTACCTGTACAGCTCGATTTTCCGTGAAAGGGCCAAGTAAGGCTTTCTCAGATGTCCAAGCTGCGAGGAGATGGTTGACCCCCAACAGAACAGCGTATAACAGGCAAATCCGATGTCCAGCGTGAAGAGGCCATTGATGGGCGGTCGGTTCAAGTGTCGCACCAAGTAAAGAAGGAAAATGTAGGCAATCATGTCCGGGCATGCCCACTTGGAGATCACTTGAACCTCAACTGAACATCAAGCCTCAAGCAAGCTTATTGCTTGAATCCAGCAAAGGCTCAGGGATGCAAACGAGCAGGCTACTCTCGTCGTTTCAGTTAAAGTTTACAAGTAGCACCAATCAATCACTCTCTGCTGTTCTCCTCCCTGCACTATCTTGTCAGTCTTCATCTCTCTCTTTTGGAGTACAAGCAATCTCGCAGATAATTGGCACTGTTCAACAAAGTTCATCAGACATGTCCTGACTCAGCCGGGTGTCGAAGCCGATGTAGTGTCGGGCCCGAGAGACTTGGCGCACGTCCTGCTCATGCCTAGGGCCTAACCAGGGCCTGCAGGCTTAGAGGCTTAGAGCTCATGGTGACACGAATTGCTCACAGCTTTGGACCATCGTCTGCACAAAGACAACAACGCTGTCTGCAAAGCACACCAAAGCATCCTTGCTCCGTCGGATACATTCTGCATGAAGCAAGAGGTACAGCTTCAGCAGAGGGATTACTATGGCGAAAGTAGTGACAAGTACCTCAGCATGTGACAAAAAAAGTCCCAACAAGCTCACAGCCCCTTGAGCGCCTCAACACACAATGTAGTCTGATGTATTCCAAGGCACAGCTCCTGTCCAAGAGCCGGTCTCGGCAAGCAAGCTGATGAGGCCGAATGTACTCTCAGATTTGGCTTCTAAGACCTTATACACCATTCACAAACACTTCAAACTCGGGCGGACACCTCGATGGCATGAAGCTCTGAGAATCTGAGTCTGCGACGACTGCATCCACGGCTCCGATCATCATATTAAAGAGAGTCAGGCACAAAGCCGGGATCAGCAAGCCGTAGCCTCAGATTTGGTTTGGAAAGTGCTGCAAGGACATGGGGTGTCTTGTGCAACGTGCAGCCACAATGGCCCTAAATCCTTCGACCTAGGACACTCTCGCAGTCAACCAGTCACAGTCGCGAAATAGCTTCAAGCGAGCGTCTATAGATGAGCAAGGACACCACCCACGCAGCCGGTCTGCCTCAGAGACGTCCGTTGTGATCATATATGTGAGCATCATGCCCAGGGCCAGGGAGGCAGGCACGACCATACGGCAGCGACGTAGCCCTAGCTTCGCCCCGCGAACTACCGGCACGTGCCGGAGATCCGATGACCCTTGGCGTTGCTTGCCCTTAAGCTGCTCGGCAACCGCGTTCGACCGCGGGCCAACTGTCAAGCCCATGAAATATCATTGAGTGATTGGCTGCAGAACAGCCGGAGTAGCTCGTGACGAGTGCGAGGCTCCTTCTTGCAAGTATCCAGGTGCTGTCGCTGAGGACAAGTGTGAACTTGATCCCTTACTGCACCTGTACGATCGTCTCAGGCAGTCAAAAAGCCACTTCATGTTGCAGCGAAGCAGCTGCTCGAATCCACCTTCCAAAGATTGCTCGCTACGATGACTGCTCTCTGCTGCTCTTATTGACTCTCCAAGTGTTGCTAGTAGATCTCGAGCTGGTCCTACCACTTCTCTTCTTGTCATGCAGTTGCAGAAACTGCACTTCGCGGATGGCCTCGCCATGGGATTTCTCATCCTGACGATCTTTGTATCGAAATCGGCTCCATATCCTGGGCTGTTTCTGTGGTGACCACGAAGGACATGAGGAGCTCAACGCGTTCGAGCATCGTCGCGGCAGCTTGCGAAGCCACCGGCACTCCCACGAGCCCAATGGCAAGGCTGACAGAGACGACGTTGATCGTCTCCTTCACGCCGCTATGCAGTTGACGAAACAGACATTATCGAGTGAGCGAACGTTGTGGCAGAGCTACACTTGCGGCTTTGAGCTAACGACACGAAAAGAAAGACTTGACCAGTTCATGTTCATAAGGTTGCATCGCCACACAGCGGCATATGCTGATTACACCGAGATTCAGTCGCGTCTTCCCGGTGTTTGACTACTGGTTTTAGGAATATCATCGTCGTGGCAAGGCCTCGCAAGCTCTCAAGTTGTCCCACCTGCGGATTTCCATCCAGCACCAGCATGGCAGCTCTTGGAGCGGGTGACAGTCTTATAAAACCCTCTGCCAGCTGAGTCTGAGCCGAAGCCTCTCAGAGCACACTGTGGCCAGAGCATCAATGCTTCGTCACGCGGGATCTGTGCAGCAACAGCTACTAAACAACATCTGGCTTGGCGTCAAAATTTTGAGGCATGTGGGCAACAGAGCAGAAGCTGTGAACAGCAATTGTGTTGCAGCATAGACAAGCACTCCACTGAGGCAAAAGCGAAATGGTCAGTAGTTCAAGCTTGCAGCTTGCAAGATACAGCTCTAATTACTCTATAGACAGATAGCAACTCCGCCATCTAGGCTCGATGACTTTAATGTGTGCGAAGAGCTGTCTGCAATCGAGCGGCGTGGGCAGCGACTGCACCAGGCTGGGGACAAGCTCAACTGGCATCGCAATACTCAACGTCTACGTCTGCACATCTGATCGCGAGGGTTGGAGTGATATGTAAACTTCGTTAAACTCCAACCAAGGAACTTTCGAAATAGCGTCTCTGGATGTGTACGTGTATATATATATACACACATATATTATCTGTATATCACATATATGCATATAGATATATGTATATCTATATTTATATTTATACAAGTTGTACATATGTAATACATATGTACTCTACCTCTAGCTACTCTAGCTGCCTGCCTCCAGTCTCTGCAGACACAACCCACCAGCCGCCAGCCACCCGCAGCCTCGGCCTCAGCCACCACCCTCCAGCCAGCCCTCCAGCCACCAACCACACCAGCCACCAGGCTCGAGCCACTAGCAGCCCCATTCTCCACCAGCCACCAGCCACCCACCAGCCACCAGCCAACTCCAGCCAGCCCAGCCACGGCGGGTGGCTGGAGTGGCTGGTTGCAAGAGTGGTGGCTGGAGAGTGGATGGAAGGCGGGTGGCTGGAGTGGCTGGTTTAGCTGGAGCCGGGTGGCTGGACGTCGAGAACCGCGAACCGCGGAAGCGCAAAAACAAGAAACGCGAAGAACCGCGAACCACACAGAACAGAACCGCTCAGAAACGCTCCTTCTAAGAACAGAAACGAAAGAATGGAACCGTGTACTTCCTCATATATGTGGTATGTGTATGTGTATGTACTGTGTTTACATATGTATATGTGTCTATATATACATACATACATACATATACATGTAGATGCGGCTTGCTGTGGAATCTCGGGGGACCCAACAAAAACGCACTTACTTAGAACGGCCCTGGCGGCAAAGACACAAATCTTCAGCACATACATAATCTCCAGGAAAACCTCGCCCAGCAACACCACCAGACAAAGCTGTAAGCGTGAAGCAGCCACAATAACGCCATCACCACCAACAGCAGCAGCAGCCAGAACCACCACAAAAATCCACAAACCAACAAACAAATTTCGAACAAACAACTAACAAACCAACAAGAAACGAACATGTAGCCAACCGAACAAATAAAAGCATCAGCCTTTAGTTCAGAAACTCCTGAAGCAAGTGAAAGAGTTCGAGCCTCGGGCGGCGGGTTTGGACCTGTCGTAGATCTTCGGACAGCACCGACACCCCAATCCAAGCACACAGTTCTTAGGATTGGCTCTTACAAATCCTGCGCAACTCCTGCGCATCAGGCTTGCACGTCAGGAGAATTGAGATCGTAGGAATGCACTTAGGTTCCGGCGGCGTCACAGTTTCCGTCTCCGCAGCGTAACCTTGGACAGCGGATCCCAACGTCTATGTGATCTGTATCGAAACGGTCTTGCCAGTCTTTTCAACAATCGTTGACATCAACCTGGTCCAAAACCAATTCTGATCACCATGAATCACCCAGGCGAGGAAGAAACGCAGGCCGGAGCTGCGCGCTCTGCGCGAGTGCGTGATAACAGACCAGGAACTTTTCTTGCATCTGCTTGGGTGTGGCATGGGCTTTTGCAGTGAATTCCTCCACATTGTCCCGTTGCATCCTATGCAGGCCGTGCTTTCAAGCGACTTGCACCCAGTCTTTATCTGGATGAGGTCGCATGCTTGTTGTCCAGGAAGTATGTCATGTGTCCTTCAGCTGCAGTAAACTCGGCCCAAGATCCGGCAATCTACAAGTAAGTATTGTTGTTTCTTGCCGTGGATGGAATTGCGCGGAAGCCTTGGGCGACAAGGTTTGTAACAGTGGCGTGCCGTTGGCACCCCTGCTCACATGTACAGTACACGATGGTGTGTTTTGGTCAGGCGCAGGAGGTCCCACAGCCGCATCCACCATTCTGTCCAGTTGAACTGAAAATACTTGCTCTTCCTCCCAATCCAAAGGCTATGCAGAACGGATGTCCAAAATCCTAGATCTTTCCGACTCCTGGTAGGCTCCGGTCTTTCATGGGAGCATCTCCCTGCCCTGCTCCCCGAATCTCCCTAAGTCTCTGCAGCTCAACAACCCTGTGGCAGGCCGGGAGCACCGCAATATGAAGCATGCACCCTGTTTCAGGAGCCTTCCCTTCTGCATCTTGCACAAGGCACGAAACGCAACACTACAGAAAGACACACTGACATTGTCTCGTCAGGTATGCTGATGAAAACCACGCGCCAGGAGCCGCACTTTTTGCTTTCCTACCGCTGGGCCGAGCCTGAAGCGAGCTTGTCCGGGAGTAGCGCATGTTCCAACCAGACCCTGGATGCTGGACATCCCGAACAACACCCCAACCCAAGAAGGTCAGGTATGTCGGTATGTCGTTCCTGCTAAAGTAAATCATGCCCAATGCCAGCTCCTATAGTTTGGTCGGAGGCCAAGCCAGACTAAGGAGAGGCTGGACAAGGAACGCGGAGTCTTGGTAAAGTCGTCCTGGCTTTTTTGGTGGACTGGGCAGCGGGTCTCGCGTGCCTGGTCGGAGTCTTTGTCCGTTGAGCCTGTCTCAAAACACGACGCCGATATGAGGATCCGGAAGGGCTGCACAGCGTGAATATGCGACCCGTCTGAGCAGTGCGCGGTCGGCCTTTTCCTTTTTCGCCTGGATAGCTTGTGGTAAGCTGCTGCAGGCGAAGAGAAGGAGCAGCTCTGGATGAACATCCGTGCCTCTTTGCTCGTCCATGTTCTTGCCTGACAAGCTGCACACGTTGCCGCGCAAGCCACTAGAGTAGCTACTCCGTCATTCGCGCGAACTCTTCACCAAAGACAGCTGCAGATAGCCACAGTATACTCAGGTACCATCTGTCGGAGAGCCTTCCAGTCTTTGCCTTCCCAATTCTCGTCCCAGCCTGAGATGAAGTGGCGGAGTTCTCTTCATTCGCCTACGAGTCCAACTGAAGACTCTCAGAGCCGCTCGTCTTTCCGCGCCTAAAAAAGGCACGAAGACGCGAGCGACACGAGCTGGTGATGGGAAAGAAATGGACTCCCTGTGATGTTGGTTCCTGTGTACCAGTACGCTTCCTTCTGAGGTCGCGACGGCCGTTGCCGGATTTTTCGGCACTCGGTGAACTCCGCCAGGGCATGGAGCACAATGGCACCGAGAAGGGGAAGGGGAAGGCACTTCAGGGCTTCTTTGTCCATGCTCATCATGCTCTAGCCGTCTCTAGCCTCTTGCAAGATCCGTCTGGGACTTCGGAGAGTGTGAGAACTCCAATGTGAGCAAGGTTGACTTGGGAGCTCAAATCTCGTCGACCGTGAAGGCAACCAATCAAGGCATTCTCGGCAAGGCCCACTTGCCGATACCATTCTACCGATTAACGCATCGCAGAGGACGTCATCCTTGCGCCTGTTTCCTCTGCATACAACACCGACTATCAAAGCGACAATCGGCACTGCAAGCTGCACTGGGTGAAACTTGTTGATGCTCCCAGATGTGCTGGGTTCGCCGAAAACGGCTTCTCACATCGTCTCTTCTGCTATCTTGCTTGGAATCCACGAGTTGGCTGCCCGTGCTCAGCGTGCCTCCAAGATGGAAAGTGCCTCCTGGAGGCCTGTGGACATGCACGAAGCAGCCAGAGAGTCTGAAGTGGCACCACCTGCCTTCCATCTCCTTGGCCCGTCGAGCAATGCGTTCTTCTCGTGTTTCGACCTTCGAATTTGCACAGAGAGGCTGACACCATCGTACTGTTCCGAGATGCAGTATCAATCAGAAGGCCTTGGCGGTGCACTCATCCTTGAGCTTTGCCAGGTACCTAAAGCGAGATGGCTGATTCAAAAAAACATTCAAAAACCGAACGACATCGCTATTTGATGCCATTGGTTTGAGCGGTTCCCGCGCACTCTGTCACCGCTTCAAACTGCTGCTGCGCGGAAGCTGAGTCTGACCTCGGGTGCCATATGGTGCAATGATCAGACGCCCCGCTCTTGCAGTCCCCACCCTGAGCCAGGCACCGTAATTCAGTCACGCTGCGCTCGAGGTTCGTGGCCTACATATGGCACGGGCCACTCCGCAACCGTCGCACATGGGGGCGGAGGCAGGTGTTGCCACGTCAGGGAATCGATGGAGAGTTCTAGCCCCGGCCCGACATCCTACGAAGCAAAGATCATGGGCCAGTGGTTAGCTTTCCTCAACGTGATGACAGATTCTGTCCGAATCTGTGCCATGAATTGCCATGGACGTGCTAGCCATGCTCTGCAAGTGCTCTGCAGAGAGCCGGATGCGGCTACGCCGCCCCCCCGGCACTGTCGGGCGCAAGAAAAGAAAGCCCCGGCACCAGTGCTGCTATATGCTGCTATGTTTACTGTTGAGATCACACTTTAGCACCCGTCAAGCAAAGACCAGAAAGGGTTACAGGAACAGATGGCATGGGCAAAACACCGACCATTGTCACGGCACTTGCACTGCCAGTTGCTCTGGAGCAGTGATGGGAAGGACTTCACAGAACGTTAAAGTGGTAAAAGGATAGTGCTGTGATGTGCTGTGACCTGCCGGTTTGCGAATCATCGGCTCGTAATTCTCAGACAGCGAAGGCTCGGCACTGCTCGCGAAGCTTTCGGAGCACACAAGAAAATCAGAAGCCAAAGGCACAAGCAGCCTTTGGAGGCCAGGTCGTTGAAACTCACGTGCATGATTGACGGCTACAACGGAGCTTGCACTGATCCGGACCCGAACTTGAAGGAACAGCCATGCAACTGGCCGAGACATGACCTTGCCAAGTGCACACATCAGCTGCCTCTGTTGTTTTGTGCTTGACGTCGGCATTCTTCTGTGCCTTGAGCACCTTCGGAGAAAGCTGATGCCGTGATCTGCTCTGGAACATGTTCGCATGCAGCATTCCATCGCGTTCTACTCAAAGAAAGCACGATTCGCGCAGACTGTACCCCTAGTGAAGCAATGTTAATCGAGTGAGCGGGTTGTTTTGGCCTTGTTCTTTGAACCAGGCATAAACTCATTGGATCTAACTTGGCATGTATGTATAACCTAAATGACTAAGATGATATGCTAGGACCATGACATACAACGGCTTCGAAGCCTAGGAATCAGAAAGCAAGCTCTCACCGGCGTTGCAGCGCTGCATGGCAATGCTCGTCGTGCCGCCTAAACTCTATACCTCCCAGAGGTGGATCGACCAACCTCTGTCGGACGTTTGGTCGTTATATTCACCTGATATGATATAGGCGTCACGAAAACTTGGAAGGCTGATCAGGGCGAAAATGAAAGGCGACACAGCAAGGCCGGCACGCACACTTGTGGGATTTCGGCAAGAGCAAGAGGCAAGCAGAGAAGAGGGGTGAGGCGGGGTTGTTGTTCGTTGTTGCGCACAAGCCATGGCTGCGGCAAGCTGATCAAGAAACAACAGCGAGGGTAATCAATGCACAGCGACCATTCTAGCTGCCTTGTTACGTTCAAGATGTCACAAGCATTCACGCAGGTACACGGAGGTGATCCCATGGTGGATAGCTTCGTTGGCACAGGTACCACCATGGGCCTGTGCCCCATGCGGTGCGAAAAAGCAGACAACTGTAGGAGCGACCCTCTTTTCCCATGTGCTAAGGAAGTTCACACACACACACACACCTGCTCTGCCGTGCCATGAGACTGCACCTGGCTTTCATGAATCATCTGGTCGTAGTTCTCCTGGGCATTGCGATCCTGCGCCAGAGCGGCCCTCAAGGGATGCTTTGCATCAGCTCTGCACAGCTCCTGTGACTGAAGGTCGGCCATGTTCCGCGCAAAGTTGGACTCGACGACCTTCGCTTCTCCACAACAGTCCCCAGTCTATAGGGAGAAGCGGATTGGCCTCCAGTAGGCTGATGACGCCTGCCTAGGGCCCACATTCTGGAGCGGCGGACTTCGAACAAGATCGATTCGGGCGCCCGGCGCCAGCTGTAGAAGCTTCGACCTAAAAGCTTGCGTCAACGTGAAGGCCATCTGTGAAGGATGTGAGGCGGCCAACTTCAGCAGCACGACGGCCTCCGCGAGCCGCGGTGCCCGCCCCTCAGCAGCGAGAGCCATGGATGCCTGGAGCACCACGGAGACCGCAACACATGCTTCTATGACTTCTATGCGGTTGTGTTCACGCACACTCGGAGTCGGATAAAAGTCTTTCGATTTCCGTCAATGCGCAAATCACCAAGCTCCCTGCTGCCATGTCGACGCTGACAGGCTGGCGATCCTGCGAGTAGTAGTCCCGCAACGCCTGCATGGGGCCAGAGCTGACAGCCAGAGATGGCCACGTCTTTCTGTCTGGCCTTGATCGCGGCCTGCACTCCAGCCACGCCCAGCTGCAGGTCTTTGTAAGCCTCGGCAGCAGGCTCCGCGTGGAAACTTCACAGCCTCGCTGCAGTCTAGTGAGTCTAGTGGAGCGGGGGGCGATGCTGCGCGTAGCTATGTGCCGATCGGTGCAGGAACGGAGGCTTCCTATTTCCCCGCAACAGGAGCTGGGAAAGGCCGTATGCACCCCAAGGACGGATTTGTAAAGCCCACGCCAGCTTGTGACGGTCCTGGTATAGCCATAGCCCATAGTGCTCGCAGCATAACTTTTCATCGTACTCCATTGGTCTCGTCTTTGGGATGCCTACACAGCGAGAAATGCTTGCAAGAGCTTTCGTACGGAGCAGTCCAAGTCCAAGCTTATCTGCGCGTTGCATGATATTGCATCATTCAGGTTGTCTGCGGGGAATTTGAGACACGACGCAACCCCCTCTCAACTCTCACAACGGTCCCCGAAGCTGGCAAATCTCGAAAAATTCTGATCGTCCGAGCAACTTTCACATGCTCCTCGTGCTCTGCCTGTCCAAGATTCTCTCCATCACGCAGCTGCGAGTTTTGCGTGATTTCTGTAACAACTACTCAAACCTCTTAGCACTTGGTGTCCACATGTGTCCAAACGGCGTGTCCAGGGAGCCTCTCGCATTTTGGTCAGCTCTTGGTCACTTGCAGCAATCTGGCCAAGCCTTGTCAGAGAAGAGTCGAGACGAGCTCACGGAATTTTCTACCCGAACATGAAGAGAGAAGGATAGAGGAGGACCAACTGTGCAAAGTACTTGAGGCCAAACTTTGGACGAACCTAGTGTTCCTGCACTGCGGCATGCGGCTCATCTGCAAGGGTCGCTAGTTCCTGGCGGAGCTGCGCCACCTGGCTTGAAACCGGCAGAGGCAGAATCAGAAGAGCAGCGCGGAGACGCCTGGGAGGATGCCAGCTCCACGGCTGCCTTCTTTCTTTTCGCTTCATCCTGTGACCCCGAAAAAGCGCCGGAGCACCCTTCAATAGACTGAATGGGTCAATTCAAGGAGTGAATCTCCTCTCTCTCGTCCAAGGCTGTCTTTGTATGCTTCATTTCCTGCCGGAACTCGGCGGACTGGGCTGAGGATGTGGGCTCGACGACGGGTTCGATCACAAGAACTGAAACTTCCATGCACAAGGATGTCACAGAAAGCAGTGCCCCTACCAAGATGTCAAAGTGGCGACTCCCATCCTGCCTGGTCGCAGAAGGCCTGTGTGCGGGCGGAAAGGAACCGTACTAGACTGGTTCAGGATGGGCACTAGGAGTTGCAGGTCAAGTCGCAGGAGCAACTCTCAAGACAGTGTTTGGATTTCTGCACAGTAGCCAAAGCTGCCCTGTTTCCACACATAATGTCACTGGCCCAGATATCTTAAAAGCCACCGCCAGTCAGCCTTCTTGCCCGTCTCATCGCGATTTTTCTGCTCAAGGGTATCGATCATCTCCTGCAACTGCAAGATGGCAGGACAAGGTTCAAGCTCACTGAGGTGGCAACGCGACGTTCTTTCCCATGCTGTGCTCCGCTGTGCTGTGCTGTGCTGCGCCATGCTCTTTTTCATGAGGGCCGCCATGCCGCAGCCGACCCCCCGGGCTTTGCGGGAGCTCAAGCAGCAGCGAAGTTCCCGCGTCGAGTGGTCCCTGCAGGTCTCTTCAAGCAGATTCCTTCCGACTTCAGTGCCCAGCATTCACGGATGAGCCGCGTTCCACTCTTGGACCTGGCACATGTAGCCGCGCAGCATGACCGTCGTGCAGTGCACACAACTGGGAAGATTCCAAGCTCAGGGTTGCTCGAAGATTTTGCTACCGAAGGACACAGCTTACCAGGGCGACCACAAAATTGAAAGCCGGCCAATTGATACAGGGAACATGGCATCGGACAAGCGGTTGAGTGACTGTTCACTGAGCAGGTGGGTGTACAGTACCGACCATGCCGTTTTGCAGGGCGCTCTACAAACGTGACCCTCGGCTTGGAATTCACGCTTGTGAACAAACAACCGGAAAGCCGACCACAAACACAGAGCACCTTGAAAAGACACTTGTGAAAAGTACTCCTTTGACGGCCACCCCTGGTCACTATGTCCCGTGTGCCCGGCGATGGGCATCCGCTTTTTGGTGCGCTTCTGAACCTTGCCCTCTCCAGATTGCGAAAGTCGTCCCGCGAGAATGTAGGAAACGTCACAGAACCTTTTCTGCTGCGTTGGGCCGAAATCGCGGCTCTGTACCGACCTGCATCTGTCGGACGAGACTCGCTACTGCAACAGCCCTGCAAGTTAAGCTCTTGTGACTCATGCATGGGCCATCAAAGTGGACCCATGTTCTGCATCTGTACGTTCCGTTCAACGACAACATAACGCAACCTCACCTGCCAGCTTTGAGCATGGCTGCACTTGAGCAGAGTGTAGTTGCGCGTCAGCCGTCAGCTGGTCCCTCGACTGCACAGCTTGGGACCGCGAACGAATTAAGCCGGCTCGAGTGCGGCTTCCCACCCACCACATGCAAGGCCACCAAACCGGCAGCTCTTGCAAGCGTGGAGTTGCCGGGCTACGCAGTTTCACTGTGCAAGGTCATGCCTGGCAGATCTGTCAACACAACCAGTAGCGACCGATGAGCAGGAGGACGTGGAGCAACATGGGTACGACTGAGCACAACTGCAACAGAAGGTGGCAGTCGGGCCTTCGCTCCAGCAATTGGAACGGCCGGAACAAGCCCAAAAAGCCGCTGTCCTTCTTGACTTGCCTTGGCCAACCAAACATGCCCACAGGCCAAACCTCGTTCGAACTGCTTTACTATCTGGGCTTCAATCCTTATCCCGGCTGGGCTTGCCATTTCAACCCAAGACTTAGACTCGACAACCGCATAGCAGAGCGCCTGCCCGGTACTGACAGATGGGACACGTATCCACGTTGAGGAAAGGGGGGTGCGCGGCATTTTTGTGCTCCAAAAGGATGTAGCCCTCCTCTGCCTGCTCGTTTAGCACCGGCGGAGCACCAATACATGAGGCGACGAAAGTCCCGGCCTTTGATGTGTCTGCGGGTCGAAGGTCAAAGTTCTGAAAGAGCTTCACCTGGCTCAACTGACGACTTCTGAAATGGAGTCCCTCATTAATTTTTCGAAGCATACGACACTTTTCCGAAGAGGCGGGAAGGTGTCACGGTTGGTTTGGCAGGTTTGCGCCGGGAGAAGGGATCGAAGGCCACTAAAGTACAGCACCATAAAACCTGGCCTGCGGGCCTCTCTCCCGTAGGAGGACCCTCTGTACGATTTTCCATGCGCAGGGGACCAGAACAAGCTGGTCCTTGTTGATTTTTTGCTTGACTACCAAGGCTTTGTTAGGCCTCACCTGCAAGCTCAGCTTGACGAGCACCCCATCACCATCACGCTTCTGTGCCAAAATGTCCAACTCCTTCTGGATCTCTGCAACCATGAGCCCTCAACCACACGCTTTAGCGCGGTGGTGGGGCAGGTGGCGAGCCGAAAACTTGTCGCGAAACACTTCTGGCCTGCGAAAAACACGTGCTGTCACTCTGTTGTGCTACGCTTAGGCACTTGGGGTATTTGCAGCACACTACACTTTTCCGAAGAGGCTGGAAGATGTCACGGTTGGCGCCGGCAGGATTCTGCCGGGATGAGAAGGGCTCGAAGGCCACTAAATTACAGCGCCATAATGGGCCATAAACCTGGCCCGCGGGCCTCTCTCCCGCAAGAGGACCCGTCAACCACACTCTTTAGCGCCAACCGGCCGAAGCCAACTGTCGCAGTACGGGTCAGCTCCCTGGCACAGCCAAACTGGCCAAACGACGTTGGAGGGCGGCAGTGGGTGGGGGCAAAAAAAGTTGCACGAGTGTTGTGGGACAGCTGGTAAAAATCCGTTGCACCGCCACGCCTCAAAGAGTATGGCAGGAAGACGCCAGGAATGAGGCCAATACACTCGACCAGGGCAGCAAACGCGCGCCTGAAAACTGCGCCGCTTGGCTCGTAGAGGAGACCACTCGGGCGTGCCCGGTCCAGCAGAAAAGAAAGAACGGCTGCCAGGCCGGGCTCTCGAAGTGAAAGCGATTGTTGTTGTAGACCCCTTGAGGTCTTTGAATTAATGATGGCCAACATGATGGCGCCCTCATCCTGGAAGATGCGTACATGGGTTTTCCGCAAAGACAGCAACTCCATGGTCCGCAGGAAGAAGGCAAAGCTAAGAAGAACCATTAATGCGAGGTCGGGCCTGTTCACTTGTAGCGCTGCCCTGGTCATGGCATGAGCCCCCAACCACGTCATGGGGTTGGTCCTTTGGGGCAAATGTACTCGTTGCCAGTTTCGCAAGAAAAGCGAAGCGGTTTGCACCTAGGGAACAACAAGCGCTTGGGCCTCTGACGGTCCACCCCGGCAGGGACACCGAATCACCCTCCTGATACAAGTGATTGATGTACTCGGCCAACTCCTCGTCCAGCTGACTCATTGTGTCAGGCAACCTGCCCCGTAGGGCGCGAATATAAGCAAAGAAAGCCGCCACTGCTTTTTCATATGAACGTTTTGTCCGAGCCGTGATTCCCAGGAACCGAGGACCGAAGGTGGTCATTTTGGTTCGTATGCGCGCGAGGCCCCCATCAGAGAAATTCCACTTGCTGATGGTCCATAGGCCCATAGGGTTATGGGAAACAGGCCGGACGCCATTGAAAAGCTTGCTATGCGGCGGCTTATGCGGTTGAGCCTCGTTGATGACGATCTGTCCTTGCCCAGGACAAACAACGACACCAAGGAGTCGATGACACAAAAGAAGCGCTTCACGACCTCGTCAACGTTCCCCGCGCGTCTGCGGAGCTCTGTCAGGAAGGCCGTCATCTCCACGACATTGACATGCTGGGTTTCGAGCCACTGGTAGAAAAGGACGTCCCTGCAGCGCCACCTGAAGGCCGGGTACGGCCCAGGGCGGTGACCCATCACATCATCTCCCGTGTCGAGGAACGAAACGCATTGAGAAGCGGCCCGTTCCACAGCCGCATCTTGTTTCTCCGTAGAGAGCCTTGACGTCTGGGAGGTCCCAAAGGAACGAGCTTCAGAGGTGTTCAAGCGAGGTGAACCTCCCACTACGTTTTGCGTCTTGAAACCCTCTCACTGTGCGCTTCGTTTGGGCGTTCGTCTGCCTGACCATCACACTGTCAGTTTGTCGCAGACGGTCCTGGGTGGTCTCTGTCTCTGAGCCGTGGCCCGGTATCCACTCAACGACCTGAGTGACTCGCCTGAGTGTCCTCGAGCCTCCACCTGTCCTGAAGTCCCAGTTGGCCCCGCCGAGAACGTCGTAGTCCAGCGTGGGCTGTGTGGAGATGCCCTTCAGGCCAACGGCCTTGGACAGCGGGCACTCCTTTCCCCTGAAGCGCTCCCCGAAGGTGGGAACATGCACCTGAAAGTCCGGTGCGCTGGCCCACCCGTTTCCACCATCCACAGAAGTTCAGGTCCTCGCCAACACCTCGTCGATAACCCTTACTTAGTTGGCAGTGACAGGTGGGCTCCGTCACGGCTTATTTCCAGGACGCCATAGACTTCCGCAGCACTGAGTACATCGGCCGCAGCGAAGGCTGCTTTCCTCCAGTGCCGTAAGCAAAACTCGCTCATTGTCATGGTGACTTGCACCAACAGGCCCAACCCGAGGCCCAGCAACCCAACGGTCTTCTCATAGGCGTGTCTCAGAACCTTTTCCCTTCCCCAATATCTCTCCTCCTTGGAGGGTTCCATTGAAGGCTCCACCAAGTTGCTTGCCTTCATTCCGTGGGAGTCCAAGAGACTCACAGGCCTCGATGAACTCGACATGGTTGCGCGAGGGCCTGCCTGCTGCTTCCTCCGCCAACTCCTTCTTGAGACGGCATATCTCATACCCGTCCATTGGAGCGGGTCGTCCAGCGCCGGCGAAAGGATTTTCGCGACGGTGTAGGCAATGTGGTGGATCGCCGCCTGGATCAGGGTGACCGCCGGGTCCAGACCATAATGACCACGAGAAGAGCGGGTGAAGCTTGGTGTGCTTCGATCCCCCAAGCGGCCCAAGCGCGTCACCACTGACCTTGTGAAAGAAGCTGAGAAGCGGGCCCAGCAGCCTCCTGAAAAGATTGAAGGCACTCTGCAGGTCTTCGGAGTCAAGGGCCACATACGAATCCTTATCGGCCATCACTGCAGTGGCCGCTGTACGGTGACCTTATTGTCTTGTGCCCCAGGGAGTAGCCTCATAGCATCATTGGTGGGGCAGAGGATCGAGATGAAACGCCCTTGGTCATCAAATGGCCTCTCCTGCCCCGTGGGACATCATCATCTGACACCGTCACAAACATGCCTCGGTCGTAACCGGCTTTCACTATCTTGTGCCATTCGGCCTCAGAGGCTCTCACCTTCGAGCCCCGGTGTCGCTCAGGGAGCTCTGCCTCGGGCAAGAGATAATGAGTGGCCGTTGTAGTCAAAGCCTCACGGCCAACAAAACGATTCCCTCGACATCGGCACACAAATAGGCCTCGACCACGCTGAGCAGTAGAAGTCGTCGAGGCAAATCAAGGTTAAACACACCCAGAGGTTGCGCGTGGAAATGCCCTCCATGCTCTGATTCACCAAATCGGGGTGAATCGAGAGAAGATCGCCGTGGCCGCTCCTCTTGGTGCTTTGAGAAGTGGGCTCGTCACCCAGGGGCAGCCTCTCCGGATTTGTATGCTCGCAGGCAAATGTTTTGAAAGAGAGGACCGAGTCCAGGATGAGCTTCCCACGACCTTCACACCCGGCTTTCGGTCCATGGCCCTCTGCAGTTTCTTCCTCCGCTCCTCCAGTGCCCTTCCCGGTCTGATTTTCTTTGTGCGGGGTCCTCGGCTCGCCCCTTCGCCTGCAGCTTCCTCATGCGGAGTTCCCTTCGAGGCCATCACCGCCTCGTCGCGGCTCTCCAGGTACTGAGCTCTGGTCCACGACGCGTCGTTCTGATTGTGCTGGAGACGCTATGACATCCACTGCGTGGACCGGCTGCGATCTCGTGGAGGGCGATGGCCAGGGTGCGCATCTCGCGCCGGAGCCTGCTTCACCGTCAGCATCCAGTTGGTGGCGTCTTGCTGCCGCGTGCGGCTGTCGTGAGGGCCCCTCCTTCGCGACCATCTTCAGGGCGTACTCCTGCAGCTGCAGTTGCAGGCTGGTTCCTCCGGAATGGGGGCCCTCGCGAAAAGGCTGGCCCTCATCGCAAGCGTTCTCGGAGCCATCATCCGCAATGGCATAGTCGAGTTCCCAAAGCGGGCCTCGATCCTTCGCCGTGTTGAGCTTGGCCTTCTCCTTCTTCTGTGTCTTTCTTGAGCTTGACATCTTGGAACCAGCCAGGATCGGCGGCCCTTGCAGGGGCATTCAAGCCGTGGGCGGCAAAAGCTTCGCCTTTCCTCCTTTTTTTCTGGCCCTTCTTCTTTTTATCTTTCTTCTCATCATCGTTGCCGCGGGTCTCCCCTTAGGAGGTGCACCTCTTGAGGTGTCAGCTTGCCTCTTACGGTATTCTTACGGGCTCCCTTATCCGTGGTGAGCTCTCGCTCTAGCTTCGCCAGGTCTTGTAAGGCCGGGTTGTCCTCCGATCCCTTTGCTGAGGGAGGCTCACATCTGCAAAAGAGAGGCCCACTCCACAAGGGGTTTCTTTTTCTCCTTCCCCGTCACGAAGTTTGATAGCCTTTTCAGCTTACTCTTCCACACATTTGCGAGAAGGACTGGCCTTCAGCCAGTCTATCGAATCTTCTTGTTGACAAAGTCGCCCACAGCCACCACTCGAAAACAATCTGTATGAAAGTTGCGGCCTCGCCCTCGCCGCGACTGGCGGTAGGATAGTTGGGCTCCGTGGCAGAAGTGATCTTCAAACTGCCACGCATCCTGAACCCCGTCGCCTATTTCCAGCCACCATTGCAAGTGCTCATCGCACGCCGCGATGAAAGTCACCGCAGCCCACGTCCACCCTTCCCAGGCCGCTCCTTGACGGCAGTGACTGGTGTCGTAGCAGACAAGCTCGGCGTACAAGGTGGTACCACGCCACCCTTCCGGGTCTTGGCTGGCCCTTATCCAAGGTCCAGGCATCTCGCATGGCGGCTCGAGCTAGAAGGCTCGAGCAGAAAACTTGTCGCGCAACACTTCTGGCCGGCGAAAAAAACACGTGTTGGCACTCCGCTGTACTACACTTCGGCACTTGGGGTTGCAGCATTCATGTCAGTCAGTCATGGCTTCATGACACTGGCCGCACAATCATACTCTTTGAAGGACGTCTACGACGGCTAGCTTTAGTCCCTCTCTTTATGCAGCTTCGGGACCATTGTGACCTTCTGTTCCACCAGGGTGAACTCCCTGCCAATGCACTGACCTCAGTCACCAAAATTGCATGGAACTCGAATCAGACAGAACACGACCGGCCGAGATGCGCGGACCGGTGGCAAAAGGAAGGTACGCAAACTTGTGTGTCTGGCCATGCCTCACTCAGAACAGCAAGCATCATGAAGCATCTCAAAATCGAGTCCGAACTCCGCGGATGATCGAGGCATCGAGGTGCTCCCAACGCTCTGGGCGGAATTCGGCAGCATCCTCGCCCCACAGCTCTTTGCCTGCGAGAAGCTCGCTGCGATCTAACTTGCTGGGGCCACTGGGAGTGTGGCTGCGACATTGACATCGACGCATCAGAGCATATCAGAGTCTCGAGGCCAGGCACTGTAATGCAAAGCCATGATGTTGATGACCACCGGCATCTGCGCAGGCATCCTCCATTTCCCTCCAATAAGCTGCTCTTCGGTGGACTGCCGGACGATGCCAGGCGCTGGAGGCGCGAGACGAAGTGTTTCCTTCAAACACCAATCCAAGTACCTGGGCTCCACCCAAAAACGAGCAATCACCCCTCATGCTTCGTGACCTGCAGACAAACGCATACTTCAGTCGTGGCAAAAGTCTGCAACTTTCCCAGATGGTCCCACTCCAACTGGTTGGTGCCAACCACTTCGTCAATCTCCTTGATGAGTCGTTCCTCACGCTTCTATATCAAGAGTGTTTCTTGACCACCGTACTCGAAACTGGCCATGTCCTTGCACTCCGGGAAGGAACACCTCAACGAGGTCGAGTGCTAAAGTTTACTGCAAAGGCTCTCACCCAAATTGTTACAGACTGCTTCAAAGCCGAGCTGCAAGAAGCAAAGGCAAGAACCCATGGCTGCGGCAGTGGAGTCCTGGCCGGCGAACCTCGGTTTTCAGGTCCGTTGGAAAAACAGGGCCACGCAACCCGGCCAATGCCAAACCACACAGCCGAAGAGCAGGAAGGTCAAGACGTTGTCAACAATCATATCCTCAGTCCTCAGACTCCCTACCTCTGCAAGAGACAGCCTTCAGCCAACCGAAGTCGCCCTCATTGTCGTGCTGCTGTGGCTCATGGATTGACCTGTTTTTGAATCCACATCGTTCAACATCATGTCAAGCAGGTCCTTCAAGAGACGTCTGTCGCTTCCAGCTTGCGAGCGGGCTGAACGGGGAACCGGGGAGCCCTCACGTCCTTGCGGCTCTCCCCAAGGCCAGCAGCCCCAGCAGCGCGACGCTTGCGAATAACGTCACAGCAGGTGTCACGGACACCTTCGTGCAAGCTCTGTGGCACATCTCAGAAGTCATCGAAGCCCAGGCCAGTGGCTCTTGCTCGATGCTTTGAAGTTCTTCAGGAGCTCACGACAGAAAATGGGCCTTTGACGAAGCACATCACACTTCCCCCCATTGGTACGGTTGATTGCTGGTGCTTAGCGCCTGAGCATGGATGGCCATGCGCCCAAAGGATCGATGGCCGAAATCGTCTAAGGGCAGCGGCCATGTCAAAGCTTCAAGTCAGAGAAACTCGACCAGGGCTAGCGTGAGCCTTTCTTCGAAGATACCTGGGAAGAAGCCCAGGCCCTCCCACCTGGTTCAATGCCTTGATGAATGGGTGGGTTTGGTCGTCTTCGAAGCACCCGAAGGACCTCGATGCATTTGTAGCAACCTGCAAAGTATAGTATAGGAATCTGCTTGTGCACTGAAGAAAAAGATGGCCAAAGCACGTGCCCAGTCCACACACTGCGATCGTCTCGAATGCCATCTTCGTCACCCATGCCTCGCATTAGCAAGTTCAACTCACTGAGCAAGACAAAGGACCGACAGTGACATCTCGTCGCATGAGCTTCTGGCATCGATGTGCGTGACCCCGCCGTGGCCGACATCTCGCTTCAGTGCCGCAACGAGCTTGTCGGCTTGATCCCGCATCATGGGCATGATGGCGCGGATGCCTCAGGGTGAAAGCAGGTGAACGGGGATGATCCCCGCCCCGGCCCCGCCCCGGTGGCCTCGCACTGAGAAGGGGTTCTTCAAGATCCGATGCGGGATCTCCCACTTCAGATCATCCGTCGGGGCGAAGAACAAGCCAGCCTTGCGTGTGTGTGAAGATCCGAAACGCTGCATTTGAGAGACGGGACCCTTCTTTCCCAAACTGTGCAGCCGGGTGGCTCCGAAGGAGATACCGAGGAGGTCACCTCCTAGTGGAAGCGCGGAGAAATCTTTCGTGTACCTTCCGATGGGCAAAGATCCGAATTTATCGAGCCAGGGCCATGGCAGATTTGCCTGTGCGGGTCTCCTTGCATGATCTCCTCCGCCAAATCGGCATCATTCACCCAGACCTTGCAAATGCTTCAGTCTAGTTTGATCTGCTGCATCTTCCGCCGTTTATCGACAACCTGTGACTTGTTGCTGGAGTGGCCCTGATCGACAATTACATGAACCGTTTCTCGTTCAGCACCGCCCTTGCATCAGGAACAAGTTGTGACAACAGTGAAAGCAGCTCCTACAGGCTTCGGCGCTTAGTCTCAAGTGAAGCTAGAGCCTGTCAAGGTGCCAAATCATGGCCCGCGAGTGTTGCCAAGTAGATCCCGAAGCCTTTCAGGATTGATGGGCCTGCTGCTCTTAATTCACTACAATTGTGCTTGCCTTGATGTTGCGCCACATCCACTGCCCAGCGTCCCAATGCCAAATTGGTATTCTGTCGGCAGTATCCTTTGCCACAGTCCAAGGGAGGATGACTTGCGCACTGACAAGCCGGAGAAAGATGGTCTGCCAAGCTTCGCATGAGAGTAGAGAAGTGACCCATAATAGGCCACCCACCTGCTGCAAAGCTGACAAGTGATCTGCTTTGCATCACTGATTGTAGAGGTTCTTTCGCCACAATTCGAGTGGGACTGAGTAGGATCGCGTATAACACATGCTGTTCACAAGCTGCAAGCCATGCCTGGCAAAGAAGGGATTAATTCACCCGGCTTTCTCCTGGCAAGGCATGGACAAGCTCTCAGAATATCTGGATAACACAGCTGCGCTCGCTCTGTTTCGCTTTCTTCTTTGTCTTGTCAGTGAGTCTGTGCTTGCTGAGCTTCCAGTCTCTTGGAGCGAAACCTGCGGGCAGCGTCGAGGAGCACTGTGACACCAAGTAGCAGCGCACCTGCTGGTAATTCCTATATGAAGCCTCATATCAAAACCAGTCACATGTCACATCACTATACTCAGCAGAAAACAGGCCAAACTTCAAGGGTTTGGCCCCAAGTTCACGCAGCGGTGCCTGTAACTGCAAACTTGTGTTGCGTCAATACAGACTGGTCTCCCACCATGGCTGCCGGTGCTGTGCTTCTGTGCGCCGTACTCAATTCGCCGCTCGCTCGAGCCAGAACTGCGGCCATCGTGCACAGGTCACTCTCCCAATTCACAGGAATTTAGAGGGCTGAGGGCTGCCCATATGGTCATCAAAACATGGCGCAGGTACACGCGGGTGGTTCCCCACTCGCTCCATCAAAGCTTTCAAGCCTGCAAGATTGTGGCAAACCCTCGTAGCTGGTCCTGCTCAAGCCATTCAAGCCTGGGCAGTTGTCCATAACATTAGGCTGAACGCCCGCTGCGAAGGTTCCGTCGAGGATTCCCGAGGCATAGACATACCTGAGCATGGCAGATATGTAATGCCTTTGGATTTCGCATCATGTTTACATCAGAGTGTGCAACACAACAACTTGGGCATGCTTCGGCAATGCGATGGTTTGTCATGTTGTCCCAAGTCAGAGAGCTATAGCCAGCCCAGGACCTAGGACAGAGTCTCTCACTCACATTGCCAGCGAGCTGCAGGCTCAGGTCGCAAACTGTCATCCTTGGGAGCGAAAGCTTGCTTTCAGGCTTGTGGTGTCAGACGCCTGTCGAAGAACATTGAAATACACGCAGAGTATCCGGTCTCCACAGAAGTAGGGACCCTCCGAAGAAGCAAGGAACTGCTCCAATTGTTGGAAGCGTGTTGGCAGGACCTGAGCCCAGTGGGATCAAGGGACCCACATCCGCGCTCCCAACGAACTCAAGGCCGCTAACGCGTGCGCCCTTCCGGGCATCTGGCCGTATTGTTCAGGTGGTACATTACCTGCAACGGAAATCATGTGGCGTCTTGACAGATGCTGCCTCATGCTCAGCATGCTGCCATGAGCTGCTAGGTCGGCCAAAACATATTTTCGTGCACATGCCTTAAGACGTGGCTCTGACCGGACCGAACCAAACCAAGATGATGCAAACCCGATCTGTTCAGGCCTCCTCTCGCATCGAATCTGGAAGCGTCACCAATGGCTCCTGGACTTCAGGAGCTCTCTAGTAGGAAGGCAGTGAATCCAAGAGTTAAAAAAAAATTAGCTTTGAAGTTTATTGCCCGGCATCGGGCCGTCTTGGACCCCTTAGTTCCATTACAATTTACTTATGATTTAATTGGCCCGTGAACGTTGCACGACGCACCATTCCATGCAGAGACGACACAATTAAATCAGGATTTAATTGCTTTCTCCTACACTACCCCCAACCCGGACCAAAATTAAATCAAGATTTAATGGGTATGAATTAATGGCCAAGCCTGAATACGGGTCAGGGAACCACCTAAACCACTAGGACACCCAGGGAAATAGGGACAACCAGATAACTAAAGAATACCTAAGCTGGAATGTTGAGGGCAGTGCTTCCCACAGTTGCAGCAGACAACAACATGAGTAGTGAACCCTCGTCGTCTTTCTTCGTCGTCGTCGTTCATCGTGGACTGTGGACCGTACAGACTCTAGACTATAGACAAAGCAGACCACAATAGACTAGACTAGACTAGACTAGACTAGACTAGGCTAGACTAAGCCAAAGCAGACTAGACTCAGCGAGACGAACCGAATCGATCAACAGATCGTCAATACATGTTTGGACATTCCCACAATTAAGCCACGATTTAATTGTTCTCTCAATCTCTCAAAACTGTTCTTATATGGCTCCTAAGATTCCCAATTAGATGTTGATTTAAATGGTTGCCCGGAAAGTCCGAAGGCGAATTCGCCGTAAGTTAGCCGTAAATGAGTAGAACAGTACAACCTAGTTCAACAATCAACATAATCTTCAATGACAACTGATGCCGAAGAAAACAACCACCAAATGGTGCGACCCTGATTTCGAACCTGATAGGCACCAGCATAAGGATGCCAAAGACCTGACTAAATCAAGATTTAATGGGGCTGATAAGTGCAAACTACATTCCTTGTGTTTACGGAGAAGGATGCCGAAATGTCACATTAAATCATGATTTAATGGGGCAAACCATTAAATCAGGATTTGATTTTTTTAACTTCTGGATTCATTGGTGTTCCTCTCATGCTCGGGTTTCTGGACATTTCACCTCTACTTATTACTTACTCACGACAGTCCGCATGATGCTAGCATGACACAATTTGGGTCGCGAACTTCCGTTTTGTGCGCTGGGCCATGTTGATGCTGGTCCTAGGCAAGTGGCCCTCCTGTCCTTCGTTAATGGATTTCGTCCCAGAACGGCATTGTACCACGCGGGGCCCTTGGCTCCGGCAAGCATCTAAATCAAAGCCCAGCTAAGATTTGTTACAAGCGGCGACATGGTGCAACAGGCGAAAAATGTTGCAGCCTCTGCAGGCAGCTAGTCAACCCATGCAAACAAACTGACAAAGAGACCGACCGACAGACAGACAGACAGATAGACAAACAGCCAGCCAGGCCAGGACAGGACAGGACAGGACAGGACAGGACAGAAACACACACACGCACGCACAGACACACACAGCTTGGATGGCAACGTT